TTTCACACCATATAATCATTAATAATAATTAAATTAACTATAATAATACATCCCTCAATAGTTCATTCATCTTTTGCTTTTTATTTTTGAATCAATTTATTTAATTTAATTATTTCAAATTGAATGATGAGTAATTAAAGTAATAAATGATGAATAATTGAAGTAATAGTAAAAACAATAAAGTTAAGTCAAATTTTATACTCTTTCCATTTCATTCATACTAAAAATTTTTTCTTTTTTGACCAAAACTTTTTTTTTACTTTGGAAGGATATTATTTAATAAAATATTTGAAATTGCAATATTTTTTTTTTTTTGAGAATTAACTTATTAAATTTAAAAAATGATTTCTTTTTTCCATTCATACATTTATCATTACATGCAAAAACTAAATACATACCTTATCAGCGATTAATTATGATAAATTTTATCATGATGTTTAATGAAATATTTGAAATTAATTAAATTCAAAATTAGTTTTTGTTTTTTTTCTTTTTTCTTTTTCAGGGTATTTCAGCTCCAGCAAAATTAGTTGGCTTAACACATTATCAATTACTTAATGGTTGTTATGCAACAATGCAAGCTATTGGTTTTAATGATACAGTTATGTGTATTGTTGAATTGAATTTTTTTTTATTTCAATTTTTTCATTTAATTAAGGAGAAAATTTTTTTTTGAATTATTTGTTTAAATTAATTAATCTAATATCCATACAATATATTAGCTAATAACAATTTTTTTCTTAATTTTTTAAAATATTTAAAAAATAAAATTTATTAAAATATTTTTTTGTTAAAAATTTTTTTTTCTCTTTTCTACATTTACATTCCTTTTATGCTAAAATTTACCTAAAATCACATCCATCTTTAAATTATTTTCCTGAAATTACATTCATCCTTAAATTATTTTTATCTTATTTTAATTTTTTTTTTTTTTAGAGTTGTATATGTTGTGCTTTACCATTATTTAAAATGCCCATATTTTCACTTATTGGATTGGTACCATTTATTGCAAATACACGAGTGATATATCCATCACCATCACCATTGCCAAAATTTCTTTTTGAATCGATCAAAAAATTTCAGTTAAATTTTAAAATATTGTTTTTTTAAATTTATTTGATTAATTATAAAATTAGCTAATTAAATTAATTAATCCATGGATTGTTTTTATTTTGTTATTTAAATAATAGAAATGTATTGTTTTAGAAATTGAATGCTTGCCATATTTTGATATAAATATTATTTAATTATTTATTCCTCTCCCTTTAACTTTTTCAGTTTAAAATTTAATTTGTCTTATATATTTCAGTTTAATTTAATATCGTTAGCATATTTCAGCATTTTCTTTTTTTTTTTGTATTTTTTTTTCTAATTGTAAATTTTAATACAGATGTACTCATTTAATATCTAATGCGGTTGCATTAGGCTTAATTTTACGCGTAGCACAAATTCAAAATGTTCATTTACCAACGATTGAAAATATTATTTTACTTGGTGAACGTGTACCATCGGATGTTATCAAAAATATTATCAAACAACTTGAAAATGTTCAAAAAATTATGGTATGTTTAAGAATTTTTCCATAAAATTTCCCAAAAAATATTACGAAATTTTGTTAAAAAATATGAAAAATTTTATTAAATATTATTGAATTTAAATTTTAATTTCTAAACAAATTATTTCTTTACATATATTTGCTTATATATTTATGAAAAACAAAAAAAAAAAAACGGAAAAACAAAAAAAGCAGAAAAAAGCAAACAACAATTTTGTTTTTGAGTTTTTTTTCTTTTTTAAATTTCAGAATGGTTATATATTAACCGAAGTTGCATCAATACCAATACTTACCTGCGATACAGCAAATATTAAAGGTGTTGGAAAAGCATTGGATGAATTTGATGTAAATTTTTTTTTTATAAATAATTAATTATTTTCATTCAAAGTTTTAGAAGAACGATTGAAATATAAAATCACATACTTACTTTCAAATATTATTTATAATATATAAAATTGATGTGAAAATGTTCTTTTCTCTTTCATTTAAAAATTGTTAGTTAACTTTTAAGAATTTTTTTTTCACCCATACTTTGATTTTTATATGCTTTTCAAGAAGTTTAAAGTAAATATGTAAATTATTTATTTATTAAAATACATATATATATTTAATAGGCTAATTTTCTTTTTTCAGAATTTTCAATTAATTAAATAATTTCTTTTTCTAAATTGATTTAATATATTTTTCGAAAATTTTTCTCATCAAATATATATAGATGATAGATTTCAATCAAATAAAATATTTTAATAAATAGCATAAATTTTCACTTTTTCGCTGCTAATTTATAGCATAACATTTGCTTTTGGAATAAAATTAGGTTGAAGAAATTTTAATAATTTTGAAAAAGAGAAATACTACCACAAACTTTGACAATTACTGTGACAATGCAATACAATTATAGCTCCGAGAAAAAAAAAGAAGGAATTAATATCCAAAATTTGATATAAATTTTAGATAGCAAGAAGAAATGAGTATACGATTATAGTTCATTAACTGTTAAAGCTTAATTTGAAAAGATAGATTTAAAATTGTTTCAGATTTCGACAAACATTAGCATTGATAAATTAAATTAGTTAATTACACCTTTTCTTTTTTTTTTTTTTTTGTCATGTGTTCATTGTTATCATTTAGATAGATATTCGCAAACTTGAAATTTTGGCTAATTGGAAAGGTAATAACAATCAAATAGGTGAGCTTTGTATTAAAGCTATTAGAGGATCAAAATTTCTTGGCTATGAATTACCGTATGAGGGAAATCAGGAATGGATCGAAACAGGGTAAGTATAAATTTAATTATTTTGAAGTCAATTAAATTATATGTTAATTAATTGGATAAAAATTATAGTGATAAATATCAGTACTTCGGATTTTATATTTTATCAAAAAAAAAAAAAAGTACCGGTGAAACTTATAGAGATGTTGTAACAATGGATGAAACTGGTATTATTGAGATTATTACTAATAAGGAAGATTTGATTGTGGACAATTCTGGTCAACTAATCGAACATTGGCTTATCGAAAAGGCTATTTGTTCTCATAATGAAATCAAAGGGGCACAGGTCATCTTTTTTATTTTGCTTGTTATATGAGAAAATATGTAAATTTGACGAAACTGCATTCAATAAATGATTGAAAATATATACTTTTGTTTTGTAATTCTCAATGATATTTCAATATAATAAATGAATTTTAAGGAATTACAATTGAAAGTTAATTGAAAATTAAAATTTCATTGGAAAAAAAATTTTTTGAAAAAAATACTAAAAAATTGTTGGAAAAAAAAAAGAAAACGAATGAAAATTATCAAATTTTCATAGCTTTTAATTTGTTTTTATTTTTTCTTTTTTTCCAAAAAGAAAAGAGAAGAAAAAACATTGTTCATTTAAATTTGTAAAAATTTCGAACGATTATTATGAGCTATTAAAATGCTAAAATGATCGATGATCAAGTAAACAAAAAAAAGAAAAAAAAAGAAGCATCACTGTGTATTTTAAATAATTTATAATTTTTAGATTTTTTATTTTAAAATGAATTCTATCAGAATATTATATTTTTATTAAATTTACTTCAAAATATAGGAATAGAAAATAAAAGTTTAAAATTTCTCCATCTTCCCTACAAAAACAAAAAGAAAAAAAAAGAGAAAGGAAGAAAAAAACCACCCTTATGAAAAATAATTGTTATAAAATCAAGATATAATTTGATTATAAAATATATTACCATTACCGGTAATCTAAATTTAAAAACTGGAATTTAAAAATTTGTTGTAATCCAAAACTATCAGTTTATTAACATAAAATGATAAGACAAAAACATTGATGCTTCACTTATCAAATTATTATCAGTTATTTCAGATTGTTGCACTTGGCAAGAAACTACCATTATATGCATTTATTGTCTTGAAAAATTCTAAGATTAATATCGATATTATACTAACAGATTTAATTGCTTTATGCAAAAATAATAAGGTTTGTTTGTTTTATTTCATCCTTTTTATGAAAAAAAACGCAAAAAAAGAAATTTGATAAAATATAATAAATCTTTACCTTTTCTTTTCTTTTACAAAATAATTTTACAATAGAAATGATGAAAATAAATTTTTGCTTTAGATACGATGAAAAAATGGCAATCATAAAAATTGTAAATTTTAAAATTACAAATGTATAGCATATTCTATTACTTAATTTCTAGCAACGGCGATATTAATGATAATAATGATAATAATAATAATAACGATAATGATAGCAATAATAATAATAATAATAATAATAATAATAATAATAATAATAATGATAATAATAATAATAATAATAATAATAATAATAATAATAATATAGATAATAATATAAT